CCAAGAAAACCACTCATTGTATTGAAGTGCCGTAACTGCTCTCATAGCAGCATGGATGCGCAAAGCGGGCGGGCACCGACTTCACCCAGGTTTTAGGGATTAGGAGAGACTTCCTGGAGGACGTGGTGTCCAAACTGAGGCCTGATGGCTGAGAAGGACTTAGCAAGAGAAATAACTCAGCAGGTGCAATGTAGTGTGTGCCAAGTTGTAGAGGTAAAAAGGGTATCACTGTTTGGGGAGCCGTATTTTATACAACCATTCAGTGACTTACACAAAAGATGCATTCTCTTTTTATTTTATTTTATTTTTTCTTTTTGTTGTTTGTGTTTTGAGAAAATAAAAAGATGCATTCTCAACACAGCACCTGTAACCAGGAAAACATATGCCCAAAGCAACATTCCTATAAAACACGATTTCTCAAACTTCAGTACGACTGCCACTTTCCTGGGCATGGTAGGACGTTTAGCAGCATCCCAGGTCCTTACTGACCTGCCAGTAGCAAGCATCTACTTGAGGCAACCAAAAAAACTCGAGACATTGTGAATGCCTCCTGGAGGGCAAAATCCGATTGAGAGTTAGAACTGCTGCAATAAGATATAATTATAAAGAATTTCTTTCTTTTTTTTTTTTTTGGAGACAGAGTCTTGCTCTGTCATCCAGGCTGGAGTGCCATGGCTTAATCTTGGCTCACTGCAAACTCCACCTCCCAGGTTCGACATTCTCCTGCCTCAGCCTCCCAGGTAGCTGGGACTACGGGCATGCACCACCATGCCTAGCTAATTTTTTTTTTTTTTTTTTTTGTATTTTAGTAGAGATGGGGTTTCGCCATTGCTGACCAGGCTGGTCTCGAACTCCTGACCTCAAGTAATCTGCTCTCTTTGGCCTACCAAAGTGCTGGGATTACAGATGTGAGCCACTATGCCCGGCCCGTGATAAAGAATTTCACAGGCTCATTCCCAGTACACCAGCTGGGAACACTAGCCTATCCAGGTGTTCTTGTTAAGAGTAGCAATGGCTCATTGCTGCTTCATTTTGCCAAGAAGAGAGGTGGTGACCAGATGTCTCAGATACAACCTCCTCCCTCCACCAATCACCAAAGGCTACCCCTAAAAGGTCTGACTAAAGTCTTTCATTCTGCAAGCACCAACCATCCAGAAAAACCTGCCAGACTCATTCTTGACAAGATGCAGGGCCATATTATCTGCATTATTGCTGTAGTTTAATGTAGTTAAACACACATTCATCAAATTGTAGTTGATTCCAAAGCATTTGTCATTTGTCGTCACTATATAGTGCACATATAATTGCCAAGATGATGAAAACCACGATGTGGGTGAAAAATGGTTCCTGCTACCCAGCTCCTCATAGAGATTGGCATCATCCACCTAAGGAAGTGTAATGAGGGCTCTTGGCTGTGTGGATCTTACTGTTTTAAACACAGTTTGCTAATAAAAGGCCTAAATGGCAAAAGACTAAAAGTCCAGCTACTTGAGAAGTGCCTGTATGGCAGGACTTTAGAATACAGGATTGAGAGGCAAGTGCATGGGTGAGGAGGATGGGGAACTGGATTCTTATGGCAAGTGCACGGGTGAGGAAGAGGAACTGGATTCTTTTTTTTTTGAGACGGAGTTTCGCTCTTGTTACTCAGGCTGGAGTGCAATGGCGCGATCTTGGCTCACCACAACCTCCGCCTCCTGGGTTCAAGCAATTCTCCTGCCTTAGCCTTCCGAGTAGCTGGGACTACAGGCACCCGCCACCACGCCCAGCTAATTTTTGTATTTTTAGTAGAGACGGGTTTCACCATGTTGACCAGATGGTCTCAATCTCTTGACCTCGCGATCCACCCACCTCGGCCTCCCAAAGTGCTGGGATTATAGGCATGGGCCACCGCGCCCGGCCTGGAACTGAATTCTTATGGCAAGTGCACAGGTGGGGAGGATGGGCAACCACGTGGTCAGGGGCCTTGTGTACCAGCCTGAAGGCTTCTCCCAGGCTGGAGTGCAACAGTGCGATCTCGACTTACTGCAACCTCCCTCTCCCGGGTTCAAGTAATTCTCCTGTCTCAGCCTCCTGAGCAACTGGGACTACAGGTGCATGCTAACACGCCCAGCTAATTTTTGTATTTTTAGTAGAGATGAAGTTTTAGCATGTTGGCCGGGATGGTCTCAATCTCTTGACCTTGTGATCTGCCCACCTCAGCCTCCCAAAGTGCTGGGATTACAGGTGTGGGCCACAGTACCTGGCCCTGAGGGCTTACTCTTAATCCTGAGGATACTGGGGAGCCAGTGAAGAATTTTAAGCCGGTGAGTGCCATAGCCAGATGAATTCAAAGATATTTCTACTGCACTTACATTTTACGAAGTATATGTTTGCACATACTGTCTCATTTAACATTCCGTAGGGAGGATATTGTTTCCATTTTGCAACTGAGGACTTTAATTAACTCAAGATCAGAGAACTAATAAAGTGGCCAGGACTGAGTAGAACCTAGGTCTTCAATTCCATATTGCCACCTGGGTGTGTTAACTATAGTCAGATAAAAAACATGCACAAAGAGCCAAATGGGGGGAAAGCTGAAGGCAAAGAATAGACGAAAAATAAGTTGCCTCCAACAGGGACTAGAACTGAATAGTTCACAGATCTGTTTCTTGATTTACCACTTTTTTTGTTATTCTTTTTTTTTGGAGATGGAGTCTTGTTCTGTTGCCCAGGCTGGAGTGCAGTGGTGTGATCTCAGTTCACTGCAACCTTCACCTCCTAGGTTCCAGCAATTCTCCTGCCTCAGCCTCCCAAGTAGCTGGGACTACAGGCATGTACCACCATGCCCGGCTAATTTTTGTATTTTTAGTAGAGACGGGGTTTCGCCATGTTGGCTTGGATGTTCTCATACTCCTGACCTCAGGGAATCCACCTGCCTCAGCCTCCCAAAGTGCTGGGATTACAGGCATGAGTCACCACACCTGGCCTTTTTTTGTTATTCTTGTTTCTAAACTGGTTATGCTGCTGCAACCAAGTTAATATTCCCTAGAAAAATAGTTTCCAATCCATGGACCAAGACCTTGAGGGGGACCCAAGGTTACTGCAGGTGGTCCATAAATTCAATATGCATTTTCATAATGGACACTGAAAATACTAACATTTATTTTACAGGGACCTGAGTTTTTTTAAAAAATTCTATTTTCTTTCAAAGGGCTCTTTAGCCACGAATGGTGACTCATGCCTGTACTCCCAGTACTTTGGGAGGCTGAGGCAGGAGGATTGCTTGCATACAGGAGTTTGAGGCTGCAGTGAGCTGTGACTGGGCCACTGCACTCCAGCCTGGGTGACAGAGTGAGACCCTGTCTTGAAAAACAGAACAAAAGCACACGAAAACCCAGAAAGGAATCTTCATACTTGAAGGTTGGAGATTCCTGAGTATTTCCAAGTATTATGTGTTTATTAGCACAGACTGTGGTGGGGCTTAGGGTAATGGTAGAGTTTGGGTGTGTAAAGGCTCTGCAGGAAAGGGAGGAATCCAGTATGGTTGTACACAGTGCCACACAGTCATGAGTCTGGAAAGGACTTGGTGAGGTGAGAGAGAGATAGCAAGGGTCAGGTACTTACTTCCCTGCCCTAGAAAGGCAAGCATTCCAAAGACTTTCCCCCATCCTCTGGGGATTGTATTTATGGTCAGAATTCAGAGGATACTTCAAATGGGTCCAACACTATTGATTTCAAAACAGTGTGCGGACAAAAATCCAGATACTTACCTAGAGTCCAAGTTGGAGGACAGAAAAGGGATTGTTTAAGGTCAACCTGGGCCTGAGCTGGAGACACAGGAGAAGGAAATAAGAGAGACATGGCCCTGGTCCCTGGTTCTGGCACTGGCCAGTTAGCTCATGAAACCTCTGTTCCATCATCCGTACAATGGAAATAACACTTCTTTGGCTTGAATGAACCAAAGAATGTAAAGATTCCTGGAGTGGCTGGGCGCAGTGGCTCATGCCTGTAATCCAGGCACTTTGGAGGCCAAGGCGGGCGGATCACCTGAGATGGGGAGTTCAAGACCAGCCTGACCAACATGGTGAAACCTTGTCTTAAAAAAAAAAAAAAAAAAAGATTCCTGGAGTGGCACTTTGCATACAAGATTCCTGGAGTGGCACTTTGCATCAATAGATGCAAGTTTTATACATATGCTTTTATTCTTTTTCCTTTTCTTTTCTTTTGAAATGAAGTCTCACTCTGTTCTCCAGGCTGGAGTGCAGTGGTGTGATCTCGGCTCCCGGCAACCTCCACCTCCCAGTTTCAAGTGATTCTCCTGCCTCAGCCTCCCGACCAGCTGGGATTACAGGTGCCCATCACCACGTCTGGCTAATTTTTGTATTTTTGTTGTTGAGAAGGCTGCTTTTCCACGGTTCTCGATGCAGTCCCCAAATTTCTCTTCCACCTCCCAGTCGAGATCGGAGGCCACAGCAGGTGTCACCGAGTCCCGGGCAGCTCCCTCCGCAAGCAGCGGCAGCTGAAGTTCCCGAAAGGGACTTGGAGACGGCCCCGCCCCTCCGCGTCCCCATTCGGGACTGCCAGGGGCGTGTCCTGGGCGTGGCTAGTACTGGCAGAAACCAATGGGAGCTGAGGAGGTCGGCATGTTTGCGCGGGCGGGGCTGGGCTGCGCGCAGGCTCCTGGGCCGGCCCCGCCCGCGGCGGCATTTTCTCCTCCTGAGCTGCCTCCGGTTCTTGCTGCAACCGAGTCGGGGTTGGTGGAGGTGCGGACCGCCGCCGCTGCCAGGTAAGTCCTAGCCCGCGCCTCCTCCTGCCCGCCCCCTGTCTCTGCGGAGCCCGAAACCCGGGACTGGGGTAGGGTTGGGCCGCGGTTTCCGGGGAGCCTCTTTGCCACCGGGCGTGCTTGAGGCTGCTTGTGCTCTCCGGTTCGCCGGCCGGGCCGGGCTTGGGGGAGCGCGAGGTTCCGGGGACTGGGGACCGGGCTCCACTTCTCGGGCTGCTGCCACCTAGGGGGTCGGGCCAGTGCCGCGGAGCCCCAGTCTCTGTTGGCCTGGGGTGATTCCTGTTCCAGGGACATTGAGATCCTCGTGGGAAGCCCGTCCTGGCATCTCCGCGTCTGCACGCGGGCCCCGGGCTTGCAACCCTGCCTGTGCGTCCCTCCCACTCCTGGGTTCATTCAAACGGCAGCCTGAGCGCCCGCGAGCTTCGCACTCTGGGAGAGGGCACACCGCATTCGGAATCGCTCGTGGCACATGCCAGGCTGGAAGGAAATTGCCTGGAAACTTAATGAAGCTCTGGGTTTTAAAGTCTTTCTAGGTGCAATTTCATGTAAAGCAGTTGCAGTGATTAGCTTTTTTGTTCTGCGCAAGAGTAGCAAAGCAGCCGGCACTGCCTGCGGATTCGGCAAGCCGTCCTACTTGGGATTGTGAGAAAGTGGGAAGGCATGAATTTTGCTTTTGGCCTTGCGGTGGGGAAGCTTTATGACCCGTGGCCTCAGTTAATTAACGTGAAACGAGATGATTTTGAAGGTTTCTTTTAAACTCCGCTTTTTGTAAGTCTGTGATGAGTTCAATTTTCGTTCTGCACCTTTAAAAAGAATAGGAAATAGGGAAAACTCATGAAAGGGCATTATTGAAATGGCAGTCAGTCCAGCAAGGAACAAAAATGTATGAGAGCTCGGAACCTTAAAGGCTGTGCGATTACAGTTTAAGACTTCAGACTGAAAAGGGAACAGCAAGTAAAATTGAAAGATCTTATCAAGAATTAAATAAGAGAAACTTGGAAAGCGTTCAGAAGTACCAACAGCTAGTATTATATTTAATTACCTACGATTACAGTGTACACATGAGGTCAGTTGGGTGAAAATAAATACTAAGCAACCATATAAGAGAAAATGTAGTAGACAGGATGTGTAACTTAGCATATATTTCAAAGGGAGAATCCTTTGAAATTCTTAATTTCTATAGACATTTTCGTTCAGAAAACTTGTTTTTTAACCTTAATTTATTATTTGGGACAGGGTCTTGCTCTGTCACCCCGGCTGCTCGAGAGTGCAGTGTCGTGATCATAGCGCACTGCAGCCTTGAAGTCCTGGGCTTAAGTGATCCTTCCACCTCAGCCTGCCGAGTAGCTGGGACTACAGGCATGCACCACCATGCCTGCATGGCTAGAAAATTTTTTTGAATTTTTTTTTTTTTTTTTTTTTTTTTTTTTTT